TGGTCTTTCTCTTCACCTGAGAGAAACCTCCTATCTCCACTTGCGTGACTCTACTCCGCTGCGTAAACCCTCACTACCGATCATTACCTCCATATCAATCATTTTCTCAACAGTGGTGCCTGACATTCTCTTGACCAAATGTCTTGAGAGCCCGGTGGAGGTAGAGGCCACATATGTGCGTTTTCTGAGGCTGCGGTGAATTCCCTCTACGCTTGATATTATTACGGGCTGTGGTGTGCGCTTTTTGTGCGCAGGTTGCGATCAGAAGACTCGCACAAGGCGATAATATTTCCACCCGGAAATGATTCATCTAGCAGTTTTATCCGGTAAGGAGGATTCATTCATGGTCTAATCAGCGCTCGACTAAGCAGACCTGAATGTTAGCGGACACGACACCCTTCCGAAGCGGGATACCCGCCGTGACAAAAGACCACGGCCGAGGTCTCTGTACGAGAACTCTGTACTATTGATTGGAGCGGTGCTAGAGCATGGAGACCATGTCGTCAGACCAGAGGTTCCCGACCAATCGTTCACGGGTGTAGAAACCCTATATTGGATTAGGTTCCCCCCCACGCGCACTGCATCCTCGCAGGGTTCCGGTGTGCAATAAAGCCCCACTATATCATCTCATGTGACGGCCGGACCCGCGAATTTGCATTGCTATTGGCGAACTGTACACGGCCTCGGTTGCTGCAGCCCTGAACCTTCCATGAGATTCCGCTGCCGGTGGAAGGAGTCTTAGCTGCGCTGTGGTGAAAGAGTGTGGGATGGCCACGGCATCGCGGGTGTACCATGCTGGTACGGTCTATGAATGGCGTTGGCTAATCTGGTACCCCTCCCTAGAAAGTTAGCCTCATAGCTCTCGCTCGAATATTACTATTTCTTGGCCTTTCCAAGAGTTTCTTTTGCGGATGCACGCTTACTGCGTTTGGATTTGGGTCTTTGTGTCATTACATGAAGTGTTGTTTTTTTCAAAAGGACTGATGGTGGATTACGAGGGGTATGATACTGGCGAGTCCTTTTCCGAAAGAACTTCGGCTACGGGCGGGTTAGGTTGTCGTCGTTACCGGTCTGGTATGATACGGTCAGTCGCTGACTTTTCGATATTCTGTTCCCAACCCGTCCGCGATTTTAACCTGTGGGTTTGGTCTTTGTGGGATTGGAGTGCGAATATATGTCACTCTTGGAGGTCTTTTTTTTCTTTCGGCGGGGTTCTCTTTACGTGCTCGTGTTTGGTTGGTGGGAGGGCCTTGGATAGTTGGATTCACCCCCCCCCCCCCCCGGCTTGGGGTGGATTTGTAGTGGGTTTTGTGGATGTTAACTTATGTTACTGGTGCGGTGGATTGGAATGGGAACCTTTTGGCTTTTTTTCTTTCCAGATTTGGAGCCCTGCGCAGGTTGAATGGAGTGAGTGTGTGAAAGGGGTTTTGGGGAAAATGTACTGCACGTTTGGGATGCTGGAGGCTATAGGGGGGCTGTTTGGCGCACTGTCATTTGAGCTGTCTGCCATCTCGTGATGCGTTTTGAGCCCAAATTGTGTTCTGAGTTAACGGCGGTGTTTGGCATATTATCATTCTGGGAACATGTTCGAGTAAAATTTCAAAATGGTGTTTAGGTTAATAGCTATTACTCACATGTTAACGCACATGATTTATGCCTTCTAATAATATTATGTAAGAAACAAAAAATATTAAACTGAATACTGGGCATTTCCCTATTTCTTCTAATCGTGTTTAGCTAAACACATTTTGGCATGGCCGTGATCTCAAATGACGATGTGACAAACGACCCCTCAATAGAAAGCTTTGGTATTTGGGTTGTATTGTATTGTTTACTATAGGTTGTGTTGATGGAAGTGCGCCTGGGGGTCAGTAGGGCGCAATTTGGCAATTCTTTCCGAGAATTTTAGCCCTATTCCCGGTCTGTGGTAGATCTCGCGGAAAGCATCCTCCATTATTACTGGCCGAGTCGTAGATATGATACCTGCTGATTCTTTTTCCTCTTTCCCGCTCCCTCCGTCCCTCCACCCCTCCCTCCACCCCGCCTGACTAAGATTCCACCTTCTTGCCTGGAGGCAGGTAGGATGCGGATGGTCATCAGATTAGATATGTTATCTGATGATCAGATATGTATTTTTGATAAGTGTCCGGTACTGTACATGCGGGGGTACAGCTCCCAAATTTTGTATATTTTACTACTGTAGCAAGGGGTGATGCGGATTTGGGGAATTTCACCATAGATTGGACAACTTTCTCTGAAGATTGGACTACCCAATTCGCCGATGCAAAACCTGGGAGCTGTACCTCCGTAATAGACGCCGCTCTCGTGTGATAATATGGTACTCTGATGGCGGCCGGGTTGGGGGTGAAAATATTTGGTCGGGGAATTTCGTAGGATCTCAGGGTGGGCTTTGCTGACTCTGAAGATGTGACACTTTTGCATCGCTCGCCCACATACTGCCGGTAAGTTACCACGCTGCTGGTTCCTTGGCCCGCGAGATCGGAATCTTATGCATGCCGACTTCCTGTGGTTTTCCTTGAATCAAGGGAGTGGAGGGGAGAGGGGTGGGTTGCCCTAAAGTTAGACTATTTCGCACGGGGGAGATCAGATCATTTAAGTGGTGTTAGACTGTTCTAGTTAGCTGTGATATCGGGGGAAATTCTGGCAGGTACGGAGATGGGTGAATAATTATTGCTGTTTCATGTGATATGAACTATAGCATTATGACAGATACTGTATAACATTTTTGTCCCGGTACTTTATGGTTGGGTGAAGTGTTATTTTCTTGATACAATACAAGTAGAGAGGTGGCGCAATTCGAAAGGCCGAGTATAAAGAGAGTTTTTACGACACTCTTGTCGAGCATTGTGCGGTATATTGTGGTGGATAGTAACCATGCCGACCGTACCGGAGGGTGCTGACTTGGAAACACTGAAGGAAGATTAAAGACTCGCCATCGTGAGTCCGGCAGATTCTGCAGTGAGCTCATATTCCCGTCCCGAATCCTGTGCCCCACCATCCAACCACAGATGAGTATATTTTTCTTCAGAAAGTCTACCTGTGGTGGATTGTGAACGAATCGATTCAAGAGATGCCTTTTACGGTTGTTTTGATTGATGAATGATGGTATGCAAGCTGCAGCGTTCCACCTTAAAAGACCAGGAAAGTTGAGAGGGCAGTCAGCTGACAAATCTTGGCGGTCCACGGGAAAGTGAAAATCCCCCTCCCATTGCCAACTCCATTCCTCCTCGAAAACACCACTTCCTCTTCTCTTCCCGCATCCTCCTCTCATCATACTCTTCCCTTCAAAACAACCTCCCACTACTCACTCTGGACATCTCTGTCTCCCCAATTCGTGTGGGCGGTTAATAGATACAGGTTCTCGGTCAATCAGATTGTTTCCTCCCTCCGTCTCTCCCTCGACATGCGCCGGGTCAAAATTTTCTCTGGCTCGAGCCACCCCAGCTTAACGGAGGCCATTTGCGAGCGTCTCGGGACAACGCCGGGGAAGTGTGATCTCAAGAAGTTCTCCAATGGCGAGACAAGCGTCGATATCGGTTGCTCAATTCGAGACCAGGATGTCTTTATTGTCCAGAGCGGGAGTGCAAAGTGAGTTTTTCGTCATTTTTTCCCGTCGTTAATTATCTGCCGGAATACTGATTGCCGGGAGGAACCTCCCGAAAACAGGGCCAATGATAGCATTATGGAGCTGTTGATTCTTATATCTGCTTGCAAAGGCGGATCGGCTAATAAAATAACTGGTTATGGTTGCTCTCTTCAGCGCGGTCTATCCATCTTGCTGACTCTATTTTTAGCTGTGATGCCTTATTTCCCATATTCTAAACAGTCTAAGAAGAAATCCCACCGAGGAGCTATTACTGCTAGGAGTTTGTCCCCCATTCGTTATCCCATTTTTACCGGATCTTGAATGGTAATCTTACGGATATCGATCGACAGTGCTAGCGAATCTTCTCACAGTTGCCGGGGTCGATCACGTCATCACTGTGGACCTTCATGCTTCCCAAATGCAGGGCTTTTTCACTAAGCCTGTGGATAACCTATATGCGGAGCCGCTCCTTGCGAGGTGGATTAGACACACCGTTCCTAATTGGCGTGATTCCGTTGTAGTATCGAAGAACCCGGGCGGGACTAAGAGAGTTACTCAGTTGGCAGATGTCTTGAAACTAAATTTCGCCTTGATCACAACGGATCGAAGGCGTAAAGATGGTTGGGCAAGCTCTCGTTTCCAGAGCCACAGACATTCCCCGGTCGAGAGTGTCAACGGTGAGACTGAAGCGAAGGAGAAGCAACAATTTACCACGGCAGAGGTTGATGGGGCTGTTTCGATCTCTAATATGCGGATTCGTGATGACCCTGAAGAGGCGGCTGTTGATTTTGGCGCTACTCCACGCGCAGCTGCTCCTATATCTGGACTGGGTATTAGCGCTGCGCCCACTTCACCGCCTCTCCGTCCCACGAGCTCCAGCCGATCAAATTCTCTACCCCCTCATCCACAGGACGACTTTGATGATGATTATACTGATGATCATGCTCAATCTGTCACTTATGGACGGCTCGTACAAGGCCACATTGTCGATGATAATTATCCATCTCCTTCCCCCTCAATCGTTGCATCTACTACCCATGGTGATACCGATCACATGATGTCCTCAATTCACTCCCTTGCTTCATTGCACGGTGAAGCGGCCCTTGGTGGTTCCATCGATGCAAATGACACGGACGAAGAGGAAGATGCTGACCAGATTCCGGGAAACGAGAAGATGATAACGCTTGTCGGCGAGGTCCGTAGAAAAACAGTTCTCATTGTCGATGATATGATTGATCGCGCTGGATCGTGGATCTCTGCGGCAGAACATGTTAAACTGAGGGGCGGTGCCAAGAAGGTTATTTGCATCGCAACGCATGGTGTATTTGGTGGGAATTGTCTTAGGGAAATGGAAGACTGCACTTGTATCGATCAAATAGTCGTCACAAACAGTTTTCCCATTCCGGACGACAAGAGGAAGGGGGTTAAAAAGCTTGTCACTATTGATTTGAGCCAGCTTCTTAGTGAGGCGATTCGCAGAAATCACCACGGTAAATTTACCACCCATTACTTGGTAGAGTGAGGATAATTAGCTGACATGTCGCTTTCAGGCGAGAGCATCTCTGCCCTTTTTCAGCATTATTCGGATTAATTTTCATTTTGCTCAAACATTTTCTTCTTTTATTGCTGTAAACAAAGATGTGGGCTTTGGGTGGGAGTTTTCATGGCGTGATTTTTTTCGATTTTTCACTAACGCTCTGATTGTTGCCTCTGGCCATCCGAACCACTTGAAGTGCAAGTGATGGGAGGACTGTTTTTCACTCTTGGTTCTTATTTTTCAGCGTGGTGTTTGAGGTATCATAATGGGGTTTATATCTTTTTCTTTTCATTCGATTGGGCTGGGGTTGGTGCGCTTATCATGTTCGGAACCTGCCACGACAAGGTCCGTAGCTTCCACCGCCGACACCGTGTTCTCCTTCTAGGCCACAATCTAGACTATGATATACGCGGCTATCAATAGAAGCAAGGGAAGTTCTTTCCGGGCGGATCTGCTATGGGCGTCCCCCCTTTGTTTTTTCTACTTGAACTACGAACCCAGCGGTACAAACACCTGGGGAGCCTGCTGGGGTTGTGTCTTTTTGCGGTAGGAATTCTTGACAGCGCTGGAGGATCAAAATGCAACCTCCGCTCCACTTGATCGTGGGATTGGGGTCTCAGGGAGTGAAGACATGTTCTCTACCCTCTTGTGGAGTGCGTATCTAATAAGGCATGATTGAGTTGCTGCATTATTGTCCTGAGTTCTAGTGATCTTTGTCGATGGCGTGATGCGCTGCTAGTTTGCAGCCAATTGGATGTAGAACGGGTCTTTGATTAATAACTGTTACTTAATCTGGCCGAGGATGGGATTTTGCGTGATCTCAGGTGGTTCCTCGGCGTATTTAAATTTATCTCATAATGATATCTCAGGGTACGATAGCAACCGATGGAAAAACACATTTGCTAGCACAGCGTCACTCCGAGCACGAGAAGCTCTGGGTGTTAGCAAATCAATGTCACTGAATAATACCCAACTCTAATGTTATAAGTTAACTTACTAAACCTTGCGTGTGTCGTGGGGGGTGCAATTGCGGTGGATCCCAATGCCGTAGTCCACGACGTTTGAATCGCCTTCCCTATCAAAATCTGTCGTGTTTTCTTTTTGTTTGTCCAAGTGGGGGTAGCTTTATTACTTTTTCTTTCGGAGTGATTCACCCCCCCCTTTCATGGGGATTCTGGACGTTCTAGAGTGAAGCTCGTTTTTTGCTCCGGTTCTTCTTGTATCACCATATATCACTCGGTACTCCACTGCTATAATGTTGGATTTAATATCTTACGCGACTTGTATAGACGGGCCGCTCTTTTCATCGCTAGCTCTTCCCCGATACCAGTGGTTTTCTCCGCTGCTCTTTTCGTCGTTGGGCATCTCCCGACGCTTTCTCGTTTCTTCTCATCTCCGCTCCTCTCCCGGTTTTCGTGATTGTTGGCTGTTCGACGGCTAGTTTTCTTTCTTTCTTTCTTTCTGTGTTTGTCTGAAATATCGCTGGTTTTGTGTTTTCCTTCTTCTGGCTGCACACAACGGCATGGCGTGGTGCTGTAGTGCCTAGTAGGTAATAGGAATGCATGCTGGCATCCATGGCCTTTGCGGGAAGATTGTAAAGGTAGGAAGATGACACGGATACTGTATGGTACTTCCATCGCAAAGGTATTTCCTTTTCCTTTTGTTTCCGCCTAGTAAACTTGAGGACCAGCGCGCGTCCTCTGGCGAAATATTCAGCCAGGAAGATTTAACCTGGTCGCGAATGACCAGCACTCGTGCTAGACGAACTGTTCGAGCCCAAATGACGAAACCTATTCTTGCTCTGCGGGGCTCGAACGGTTGAACACACAGCCAAAGCACATGAAGCAATTTTATCCGGTCGCTTTCGTAGGTATGTAAATTATGTGGACTCGGAGGGGTCCCGACTCTCACCAAACTTTACTCCGTGTTTTTATATCGTAAAAACTCGAATGTGTAATTGGACCTCATGCTAAGACGTCTGGAATTCCCTCTCTTGGACGGATGGAGGGGGGGGGGGGTGCCGGGAATAGAGCGAAAACTAATCCCCTGAGCCCCGGCTTATATAAGACAAAAAAATAAAAATGGAAAAGCCAGGGAACCATACTGACAAAGGCGACTCCAACGTCCTAACTTGAGGTTCAATTATTCGAGTTTGTCCGGTATCTTTTCATCGACACTACTCGTACTAGCAGCAGGCAGTATATTTCCAAAAGGGCCATAAATCTCCGACACGCATTCGGGAAGAAAGGTTTAAGTATTATAGGATAGCGGGAGGAAACTGACTTGGCGATGGGTAGCTTTTTCCCGGGTGTTGGAACTGTATGTACGAGTATTATTATCAGTCGTCGGAAAACCCGCCTCGGTTGCTGCCGTTGATGGGAGATCAGCGTTTTAGGGTTGAGAAGCTGGTGCTGGGAAAAAGTATTTCCACTTCCGATTCCGGGGGGACGTGGGGACGGACCTTCAGCCCAAGCCATCTGAAGAGCCGGGTTGGATGTTTTTTTTTTCCGCTGGTGAGGGGGTGTATCTGTAGGAATTGGAAAACGTGATCGTGACCCCTGAGTGCCGGTGCTCTAGTCTATTGGTTTGGTGGAGTAAGGAGAGGTTGATGTATGGGCACTGTATCATATCGTACTCATAAGAAGATTGCTGTCCATCCGCTCGTCGTCGGGGGCCCTTACTAAGTACTCGAGTAGATCGAATAAAAGTGATACGGAATTCGACATTACTCATACTCGGTTTTAACCTCTGAGTGTGTAGGCAGGATGTAATCATTTTTTTTTACTATGCACTAATATAACATGCTCACCATCTGGTCCATAATTCCAACTTATTCTCTTTGGAATCCCTCTACTGTCGAATTGGCTCTTGCCTGCCGTAAAAGTATTTGTGGTGGTATTTATCGTACTATTTTTTTAATTTTATTTTTGGTGGTTATGCTACAAAATACTCTAGGTTTCCAAATCAGGAATTTAGGCCTTGACTAGGTACAGTTCCTCCATGGACTCAGGTGACTGCTGCCTTTAGTGTAACATGTTGATAGATTTTACTGGTATCATACCCTGGTCAGATTGCGCAAACCCTCTACTGTATTCACGAGAATTGTTTGTGAGATCATGTTGGGTAATGCCAGTATGATATTCCCTCGACGAGGCGCTCCAGCTGTACTCGAGTAGACGATCCTCGCCGTACTAATGCTTGGTGGGGTGGCTGTGATACCACATCCGAACGCTGGTTAGCCCATTTCAACGACCTGGGGATTTTTGACCGCCACTCTGACTAATATTACGGTCTTGTTGGATGATAGAGTAGGCCATCCTCTACCATTGGTAGGAGCGAGGGGAATGTCGTGCTCGTGTTGATCACTGCTACTTTCCTTGGCCAGGTTGGTTAAGATGTGTTTTCCGGGGGATTAACTTGTTTAATGGCCATGCTTGGCAAAAATTGACGTACTATGACTGGGCTGGAGTGAAGGTCCCTCGCCATCTCATCGACAAAATTGTCGCTAGCCAATGGACCGAAGGCCCGGCCCCGATAGTACGAGTACGAGTGCTCGTATAGCACTCGTATAGTGCTTCGTAAAACCGTAACTGTTTCTGCCGATCCCATGCAACTCTCAGTGGAGACGAGAGTTATCGCGCTGTATGTTTTCCGGTTTTCGGGGGACCCCCCAGTACTCGCAGGCGTACCGTGGGACCACAGTAGGCTGCGGCTTACCGACCGCCCCGGCCACCCCGTGGCCATCATGGATTGGGGTTTTCACGGGACAAGAATGCTGGCTCTCAGCACACGGACCCACTCTTAGTATCATATGTTGATCCTTGGTATCGTGACTTGCGCTGACTTGGCTCGCAGCCGCACCCCAGCTAGCTTATCCCGAACCCCCACAGCCAGAAAGCCTCTTTGTCTACGAGTACGAATATTTTTTACCCCATACTTTTTGGGTCTAGGGGAGAGGGGAGGGGGGTGATGACCATATAAATGCGGTATCAGACTCCCCTTCTCCTAGCATTGCTTGGGTGCTATCGTTTTCACAGCACCTTCAATCCTATTCGCACAATACCATTATACCGATTCCCTGCTACCGACTCCTGCCTTAACAATGGCAACGAAAACAGAAGATCTCACTGAACTCTCCAACATCATCTCTGCAAGTGCAAACAGCTATCTCTCCCACGTCCCAGCTCCACCAACCCTCCGACCAGCACCTCCGGTCCCCGTGACCGACGAGGTAGCCATCGAGGCTAGAAAACAACTCTTGACGGCGTGTCGGAGGGTGATTTCTCTGGTTGGGGGCCCCATGGAGACAGTTATGGGGATGGCAGTGGGGCTCCACGATACTGCTGTTGTGAAATTGGCCTACGACATGAAACTTGCGCAGAATGTGCCGCTCGATGGGTCGCCTATTGCTCTGGCGGAGTTGGCTGCGAAGACGGGGGTGCCTGAGGAGACTATTAGTTGGTTTTGTCTTCACTATATCGGGTTAGTGAGTGGGGGATAGCGTGCTGATGTGTTTTGCTTCCCCGGAGGGTACAGCGAGGGTGATGCGAGCATTGACTTTTAAGGATGTGTTTGTCGAGACGGAGCCGGGATATTTTGCGCATACTAGTGGCTCTGCGGCCATCGGCGTTCCTGGAATTGAGGCTATGGTTGGGCATTTGTGATTAACACCCCCATTACTTTTTGCTCTCTCTCACGGTTTTTGATTACTCATCGTTTTCCGCAGGACTGGCGAAACTTTTATCTCGGCCCCACACATCTCTGACGTTCTGCGCGAAAATAACTTTGTGATTCCCGAAGACAATAGGAAAACCGCCTTCAGTCGGGCCTTCAATGGTATCCCGTCCCCTTCTCTCTCCACAAACCCAACATGACTAACCCCCCTCATAGTGGATAAGACTTTCTTCGAATATCTCTACACCGACAACAAACCCATGGGCACACGTTTCGGCAAGGCCATGAAGGCCATGAGCACTGCCCGTGGCCCATTAAATCTCGTGGCGCTTTACGAGCCCCTCTTTTCCGCTCCCAAGGGCACAACATTGGTAGACATCGGCGGTGGCATCGGACACATCGCCATCGCTGCGGCGCAAAAGTTTCCAAACCTGAAATGCGTTGTACAGGATATAGGAATGGTGATCGATGAGGGGCGGGATGGGCTTCCGGAGGAGCTTAAAGACCGTGTGGAGTTTCATGAGAATGACTTCTTTGAAGGGCAGCCGATTGGTGGGCCTGGGGTTTACTACTATCTCAGGCATATCTTGCATGACCATCCTGACCCGTAGGCTTCCGCCTCATCTGCTTTCTTGGAGAAGGGATACTAGCTGAATGGGGGCAATATAGCGGTTGTAAGAAGATCTTGTCGCACATTGCGAACGCTATGGATTCTAGCTCCAGAATCCTCATTGATGAGAGCATTATGAGTGAGCGTATGGGTCCTGATGGCGACAGGGCGACTATCGTTAAGGACCTTCAAATGCTTATCATGTTAAATGCCAAGGAGAGGACAGAAGCTCAGTGGGCGGCGTTGCTGAAGGGTGCGGATGAGAGATTGGTTATTGAGAAGTTGTGGAGGGCTAAGGGGAACGGCAACGCAATTATTGAGGCTAGATTGGCTTGATGGTGCCCATTGGCAACTGTTAATGGAACTGTGGGCTTATGGAATGAATGGTTGAATTGGTTCATTGTCATCTTCGTCATTCATTCCCCGGTGGTCCCGCATTTTGGCGCAACGGGGTGTAGGGCTGGGGATGTAGACTTCCAGCTGAAAGATATTGTCATTGAGCCTTGATAGTTTGTGCCGTGCACGAGTGCTGTGATTGCACATCTCGTAAGTGGTGGTGGGGTGGTCACCCTGCGTCACTCGTGCTGTAGAGGGACCCGAATAATTGACCCACGTGCGTTTGATTTCTCGATGTATGGACATGTCATGCTCGCTCGCCCGATTTGAGAAGCTCGTTAAAAAAGGAGAAAAAACGCCAACCTTATATAATAAACGAATAGCAAAGCACAAAGTTAGCTCAAAAGCCTTGAGCATTCTCCCCCTCACTCCTCTCTAACCACCGCGGCCACTGCCCACTACCGCATTGCCAACACCCCCCCAGGTCCCAACAACCCCACCATTCGTAGCGCCAGCGAATTCGACACCAACATCCACACCCCTATCATACAATGCTTCCCTCCCGCAAGCCCCCCCACTCACTTGAGCACGACATTCGCCCCCCTCAACTCCAAATACCTCTCCGCACTGCCGGGCGGCAGCATCCGTATAGCGGCGTAAACCTCCTTATCCGCATACCTAAGCTTCGTCTTCGGATCCGTGTACTTTGCCGGCAAGCCCGTGACATCGCACCACTTCTTGGAGTGGGCGGGGTGGAGCGACGGGGCCGACTCGATGTTCGCGTACGTCGTTTGCATCGGCCCTGCCGGCGCTGTGCCCCCCTCGCCAGCGGCCGCGGTGCGCGTCGCATCCGAGAGGATCTGCTTGAGCGTTTTCGTGCGCCGGTGGGGCGTCTTCCAGCTTGGGTTCTTGAAGGGACGTGGGTGGGGGGTTATGTCGAGTTCGTCGAGGACGGTGTTGGTTTGGGGGGTTGCAGCGGGGGGTGCCATTCTTGGGATTATCTTCTTTCCCTTTTTTTTTCTCGCTCTTTCTTTCTTTCTCGTGGGGTGGGTTGTGTGTGATGGTGATGGTGGTGGTGGTAAAGTGTTATGAGAGAAGATTGGGAGTTGTAAAGTTTGGATAAGGGTCGACGCGATTCTTGGCTAATTAAAGATCTGGCGTTACCGTTTTGGTTGGCCTGTGATACCTAACCCTGGATTCCGTGTGGTGGCGGTTTGCGCTACGAGCCTCATGCACCATTGTACCGTGGCCACTCGCAGTATCGTATTACGCTACAGTGAAACCTCCGATAACTCCACCCTCCGATGTTTCCAGATCTCCGGTATTTCTATCATTTGTCGGGGACAGGTTTCGTTCTATGGGCTTTCCTCCTCTAAGTTCTAGGGTTCTATTAGTTTCTGTTTCCAGACAGTAAAAGTCACCAAATTCCAGAGTTTTTCCGTTTGCATGAAAAAATTTTCCATGCAACTTCCCGTAGAAGACCAAAGTTATGGTTATGGAATTGAGAAGTTTGGATGGATTTTCAGGAGATAAATAGGCTGCAAGAAAACAGAAAGAAAATAAAGTACCCTTCAGCCTTTCCTCAGCTCCTTGTCGGACACTCACTATGAAACGAAAAACGAAAATACCTACCACGATCAGTATGCCGAATACTCCACTGATTTCCGCAAAGCGTACTCAACGTTTACTTGCACATGAAAAGCAAGCACGAGCCAAGCATAGAAACCTTACCAACCTCGCAAAGTTTGAGCTTTACAAAGAAAAGTTTCCCCCGAACGGCGGAAAATCACCAACGAATGCCTCTCTTGCTATTGCCTATGGTGTTGATAGCAAAACAGTTACAAATATTATTGCTAAAGGGCATGATTACTGGGCAAATATGACAAGTGCAGAGCTTACTCGCCGGAGGGTAAGCAGTGTCAAGCTACCACGGATTGAGTCCATGCTTGTCTTATGGGTTCAACAGTGTGAAGGTAGAGGTATGTGAGCAGATTTCATTTTTTTTCTAAAAATGAGTTAGTTTAAAAACTAAGCAATGTAATAGGAATCATTCTCACTGAAGAAGCCATTCGAGTAAAAGCGACTCGATTTTGTGAACTCGAAAATATTCCAGAGGCCAATCGACCAAAGTGGAGCCATGGGTGGCTTGCAAAGTTCAAAATGTGAAGTGGACTTCGTAGATACCGCTTCTATGGAGAGGCTAGTTCTGTCAACCTTAGCAACTATACAGAGCGTATCGATCAGATCAATGAGGCCTGTGATGACTACGCAGATGAAGACCGGTACAATTTCGATGAAACTGGTCTCTTTTATCGAATGCCACCTTCTGTAGGTCTTGCTCTTAGGCAGACAAGTGGACGAAAAGGAGAAAAAACACGCTTAACATATGGCTTTTGTGTTAACGGAACCGGAACCGACAAGCGTGAGGCACTAGTTCTTGGACATGCTCGTCGACCTCGATGCTTTGGGAAAAGAAGTGTACGTAGCTTAGGCTATGACTATTACTTCAATAAAAAAGCATGGATGACAAGGACGATTTGGTTGGAGTGGGTAAAAAGATTTGATGAGGATATGGAAAGACAAAACCGTCAAGTAATCCTTTTAATTGATAATTGCTCTGCTCATATCGAACCAATCGACTATTCTCTTAAGGCTATCCGTCTTGAATTCCTTCCTCCCAATACAACCTCTCAGTTGCAGCCCCTCGATGCAGGTATAATTCGAACTTTTAAAGCTTATTACCGACAAGCCTTCCTCCAACTTGCAATTTTACGTGATGAGGAAAACATGCAAAATCCTTTCAAAATCTCACAGTTAGAAGCAATGGAGCTTGGAAAAGAAGCCTGGTCTAAGGTTACAGCTACAACAATTTCAAACTGTTGGAAGCATGTTGGGCTTACTGGTAAATTTGGACCCGGATTACCAGTTGAACGGCCCAGCGATCCTATCCCAACCTTTGGTCCTGCTGCAGAGCTATATCGAGCTCAAGCTGAGCAAAGAAACCAAAACCCTGACCTGTTTCTTCTCTCCCATTCCGCATATCATGAGGTCAGTTTATTTTTTCTCTTTACTCTCTTTAAATTATACAACATAGAAGATCAAGTTACTAACTATATCTACTGTATTTAGGTCGCTGAGTTAGCCGTCTTAATTGAGAAAGACTTTCGAAGGCTTCGCATCCACGATCCTATGGCCATCGAAGTGTTTCTTAACCCAGGAACTGAGGTCACAGTTACTGGAGAGCTTACGGATGAAGAAATCATTGGAATGATTAATCATACTGAAGAGGAGGAAAAAGAGATTGGTGGAACTGCTAGTGGTGAGGTCACTAGCATTATGGTAGAGCAGCCTGAGAGTGCTATACTTCTTTCAACTACAGAGGCCTTGAGTGCTACCCGTAGCTTGATTACCAAGCTATTGGTTGATCCGGACATTTCAAAAGTCGGACTTACTGCCCTTAGATCTCTTAGAGAGTTAGAGAAGGTTTGGCGGATTCAGAAACTTCAAGAGTCAACAGTGCAGCAAAGTATTTTATCGTACTTTACCTCAGCTGAAAATTTGTCCTAGTTAGATTCATAGAGAGTGAAGCAGAGTGGTGGAAACTTGAAGGCAAGTAGATGATTACTTGATGTTTTCAGAGTAGAGTAAACTCAAATTGATATGCTAGTGCTAAAGGAAACTTGAACAATTTTCTCTTCCACTTTATGAATTCGAAATATACTGTGTACGCCATCATGTATTATCACTCGTTTATCTTTGATTTGGTACCCCTCCTTCTGCCAAGCCTATTCTCTATTTTCCATCCCCCTCTTACTTCCGGGGGATCCAGTCCCCCGAGGACCTGGAGATAACGGAGGTTTCACTGTAGTTACACATTCTCGCAGGTAATTCCCCCTCGGGAAGCACTGCCGGTAGCAACCCCAGAGGTTCCCAAGCCCGTCCAACTTCATTTATCCCCGGCCACGGGCATAGCGCTGGTAAAAGGGCCGGTACGAGAAATGATTCTGCGCAGCGTTACTGTAAGAGTTTATACGGGACCGACCTCACGGTAAAGTGCCATTGAAAATGTGATAGCGAGTTACCTCCGGATTACCAATTCCCCAAGCCACTACCGTACATAGAGTACTGGTATATATTGCCCCGGCGAGCAAGAGAGTGCCGTGGGGATCGAGGGCAGGAAGGGTGCGCTGGGTGTCGATGCCTCTCTCTCGAGCCTCGTGAAGGGTACGGTATGATACTGTTATACGCAGCTAGCTTATTATGGCTACCTCCCGTGCTTTGCGAGCGGGCGTGAGATTCGCTGATGACAGTGTAGCCTCCACCAAGATATTAGTTTCTCTCCTTGTTCCCAAATTTCACATTGTTTTGGCACGCGGACTAACCAATTAGTGCTGATTTGGCCACTATCCACCACAGTGAACCATTCCTGATTGATCTATTCTTTTTGGGTTAAGTCTACAATCCGTAACACAAGTCTGTTCAGGTAATCATGACCACACATGCTACTACAGCCCTACCTTTAGTTGTTTCTATCACAGTCATGATGAGTAGTGCATAGTTTCGAGAATACTCTAATCAATAACAAGCAATCGCTCTCATGGTCTTGGCTACCCACCAAGACGGTAATTTGGAAGCAAGGTAAGGGATAGAATATACCGTGACACTACTGAGGGTCTGCACCAAGATCTTCGTTAAACAGAGGTTTTCTAAGGATTCAATGGTGTAGAGGTATCATGGGCGCTTGCCATCCGGCAACGTGCGCCCGACCCGGGTTCGATTCCCGGTTGAATCATTGTTCTTTTTTTCAAACCCTTTCTTTTTCCCTGGTCTCCATTTTGGTACGGTTTTTTTTTTGCTTGCTTGCGGATTAGACTCAAGTCGCCGGATCGCGGTTTTGTTTCTCTTCGTGTACTACCACCGAGCTAAATCAAAGGTTCATCTTTGCAATTTGAGTGTCCCTGCAGTGGTGGTGTCATAGTTGCTGAATCTCCCTTGGAATATCCACAGGGCTCAAAATAACGCACGCGACTCTCACTAAAGTAATTCGTAGTCTCCTCTCCACTACTATATCGATGGTCCAAATAGTGTAAGTATTAGTATGGTAGAAAGGGTAAAAAGTCGTTATTGCGGCTGAGGGCTAGTATAGAAAGTGATAACCTAGGTTTTTTTTTTCTGTTCTTCAACAATATCTATTATTTGTATCGTTGAGGTTGAAGTGAACGTGGTATTACGATTTACTTTTGTTGTGGTTGCTGTTGGTAAAAAAGGAGGATGATGCTTAGTCAGGTTGCGATGGTTGTCTTGGCACTGGGAGTTTCTCATAGTTAAGACCTGAGGACCGGTCGTCTCTTGATAGGAGCAATGATAATAATCATCAAAACATCATCAATCGCGTTCATTTTCAGTCCTCTTTTCTCACCCCCTCAGCACCTCTTTCAACATCTTTCAACATCTTTCAACAGTTGCGTCCGTTGCAACTGTGACCCTTGCACGGGTGTTCCGGGTTATTTTGAGCCCCGTGGATACCACATTAATCATTTAGGGTTCGTTCGGTTAACAATGGAGCGTTCATTAGTCTAGCTATTCCAAATGCAACCGTTCAACCATCCCTCATGAGAGTTTTTCGGCTAAGCTGAACCAGCCATCACCTGGTTTAGGACAATAAATTAGATTGAAGACCATCACGGCTATGCATATTGCGACCGACCGTCCAGAGTAAGATGGCCAGCATCTGTTCAAGACTCATTTGTGCATGGGCACTTCGTTGGGCAATCAATAATTCCTTTTTCCGTACAAGGGTAGATCATGAATGAATTCATAACATTGTACTCGAGTACTAGTACATAGCAGGGGTGTTTACCCTCCTTGGTATGTGGAATTTTGGAACACTGGAACAATTATGCTCTCCAACACAGGATCATGAATGAATGATGAAGGCGAAAGGATAAATGAAAATATTCAATAATGGTTGGCTATGATCACACTATGTTCTGGTTCCATAGTTCCTGGTTTATTGAATTCAGTACGGTAGCTCTTATTTGAACAAGATTATCGCACATCTCTTGTGGGCGCTGTACTGTACTCGAGTACTATTGCTAACTAACCTCCGATCTCTGCTCCGCACTTGTACCATGAATTTTTCATGATCTACCATTGTGGCCAAGTACAGCGATCTTGAAAAGTCGTCACTGGCATATGAAAGGTATCAAAAAATAAGTGAGGATGCCCATAGAGCAACTCGTTGATGAAAGGTTCATCGGAGAGAGTAGGAGTATTGCGCGGCAATCTGGGCTGGTGCAAGTATGCATAGAGAGTCATGCATACTGCAGGCTGCTTGGTGATGCGGTTTTGTGGGTGGGCAGAAAATATGAATGGCTGATTAAAAGGTCCTTTTCACTTTTGACCCTTCACCACCTGTTTTTGTGAAGGGAAGCATGCGAACCGAACATCAAATCCTCTTCATGAACGGCCGCGCTAGAATGAAGCGTTGCACATTATCAATCCCCTGTTCAAACGGTCCTTTTAGTTCTTAACCGAACGAACCCTTACTGGTACTAGGAGACCGGCACTAGGAGAAGAGGTATCACACCGCCAGATTTGAAAGTTATCTGATAGCAGGGCTTCATGTAGACTATGCTGGGACACTTAGAGCTGAGCATGGAGGGGGGGGATCAGCATGCTCCTTGAAATCCATTGAATCAATTGATGAGTGTTCGGACGCTTGGCACCCAGACTGGTACTAATAGTGCCAAGGCGTCCGAATACTTTATAATGGCCAAGCACAGGCGGGGTGTATCATTAATGTCCCCTCCATACTTTCGTGCTACTGGGTGCGGTAAGACACTACACAAGCAAACATCCAGCGCGATGTAGGGAACTTCGGCACTACCACCAGTGTAGGGGATGCTCGGGCCACTCACAGCTTGCTCTTTTGGTTTTTTTTCAATTCCTTACCCCGACCGTGAAATGATTAGTGGGTTTCTACACTACACAACAGCGGAATTGTCTGATTTCTGTAGCAGGGCCCACCGAGTAAGGTCAGTCGGCGCTGCCTAATTCGCTGGTTGATATTCTCCAGGGAGCCGGAGCGTGTTCTTGGTTCTTGCAAAAGTGCATAGAGTAGAGTGAGTATAATATACTAGTGGGTAGTGGGTGGTGCTGATATATGTGTGTCGGGATGGCTTTTAGGGTGTGTTATTACGGGTCTTATAGGCCTTGCGTGATATGAACCCTTCAAGCCCTCGTTAACTATCGTTCAAGCTCTGAGCTGGGAAACAGGTTAGGTTCCTTCAGGGTTCCATTCCGTACCACGTAAATAATCCGCACCTATGAAATGATGAATTGCACAGGTCCGGCAAACACATACCCTGCCCTTTTTCCCCACTTTCTATCCGTAAGCCCAGACGAGGCTGGGGCAAAGATCTCTACCTTGGTATAAAAGGCCCGCATCTCAGTAACTCACACCCCTCCATTCAAAGACTCGGCCACGCCAAAAACAAAAAACGAAAGATACACCCTCTACATCTAAACATCCTCCACCAACGAGCAGCAAACAGATTAACAACCAAAATGGTAGAGACTCGCGAAAGAAAACGCCGTCGGCATAGTGGGAAAAGGCCAACCCTCACCATCAGAATCACCAAACCCAACAGCGACTTGCCGACCTTCACCACCACACTCATAGAGCGGGCCATCAACGCCGCCGAAAATACCGAGTCCATCCCAATCCTCAGCAATCCGGCCACGAACCACCACCCCATCACCCCCGTCGACTCCAGACCCGCGAGGGATTCCGATCCCGTCTTCGAAATAATCAGGGACAGCGGGCGCCTCATGGAACTCGTCGACCGACTCGCTGAGATGCAGACCGATTTGGGGGAGCATTTGGGTTCGATTGATGAGGGGAGATTGGCCGGGGAGGCACATTATCTGGATACGGCGGTTTGGGCGTTGGAGAAGCTGGTTGCTAGTAGGGAGGAGGGCTGTGGTGGTGGTGGTGGTGGTGGTGGTGGTAGTGGTGGTTGTGGTGATGGTGGGAATTAAATTGGTTGGTTGGTTATTTGCGATTATTTGCGATTTATGTATTTGAATGGATGAAGGGGTCTTTACCCCCCTAGACATTGTGCTTGTACGTGTACACACTTTGGAGTTATACGGGTGAGGGAGTGAGGATGTGGTGATTAGTGGAAGCATCCATTGTCGAGGGGTTAGAACTGTGAGCAAGTATTCACTGTATTCCACCAAGTGTCTCCACACTCGAGAGATCATCGAGTTAGGTGAAGGATGGCGCTCTGATTGAACCCTACTATTTCTCTAAATTCAGTCAAAAGCTCTTATGACGAAGCCCTATTCATCGATGGGAAAGTGAGCACTCTTGGACCCACAGTGATCCTGCGAGAAAATTATGGAGAAATCGGTTTTATTGTCGCTATTTGATATCAATGCCATACCAATTGAGCTCTTGGCCTAAGAAGCACACACAGAGATTTTGTGATAGCAATCCCTCCGCTGGTTTTCGAGCTCACGAACATGTAATTTTTGCTCGGCGGTGGGGATAGGCGCCTGTTGTTAGCTGCGAATCCTCAGTATGGAGAGAGGGAAGCAACGAAGTAATCCCTGCTGGCATAGAAGCAGCCCAATCGGGCTCGCCACCTCCCGCTTCAAGGTGATCCTCGGCTAAACTTTCCTGGGCCAGTTGTCTTCCAAGGGTTCTCTTGCCTACCCTGCATCACCTGGAGCTCTCGGAATGCTTGGATATCTGACAGGGAACTAAGGCTAAAAAAACCCCATCATCTGTGATCACTCGTAACACCCTGCTATCTTGGACTCGGCTCTGCCATATTGTCCCACGGGGTTCCACCTCTTAACCCTAACCCCGCACCACGATTACTGCTAGACCTATTCTAACCGAGAGGCAATGATTCACGCATCTTCCATGGGCATCTATCCAGTGATATACCTGGGCGATATCGATATATCATGTGAGAAGAAGTGGGGTGCCGGATGTGTCAGTGGCGTTTTAGGGGAGGCACCGGACGCATCGAGGATCCGGTATCACACGGTGGGATTGTATCTCATAATTTATTATCATACCTATCATACATTGTCCTTTGTTTTCTCCCTCAACCTTATCCCAGTGCGCTGTACTGTACCGGTAGTAGTATCATACATAGGGCTTCGGTCAGTTACCGTAGTTACGATAGGTAAACTCACGTTCACGATAGACTACAAAAAAAAAAATTAATTTTTTTTTTAAGATTCACAAGTGCGAGGTCTACAGGAATTTATTAGAAAACTGGTACGTGTGAGAAGGTAGGTAGAGAGGGTGTGTGTAAGAAAAAAAAAAAAAAAAAAAAAATTTCCACCCAAAACCCCCCAATCATGGCACGATACCGGAAATAATCTAAATTCACTCCCTTCACTCGACCTCACACCTCGAAGTCACCTTAGAAATAGGAACAGAAAAAAAA